AAAATATCCTCTCAGACAAATACCATAAAAATAACCCCATCATGGTGAGTAGAAAATGAGAATGAGGTTGGAGACAAGTGACTTCAATCCATTTTAAAGATAAAGAAAAGTAAAACTTGTGGTTAAGTAGTGTTTTCATCGTCCCAAATTCATTGTAAATTTAATATTTAAAAAATGTTTCAAAATAATTAGTGTTCTCACTTTTCAATGTAATATTATTTTTTTTATAATTTAATTTTTCATAAATCATTCAACATTCTCAATTAAAAGTAATTCATTTATTAAGAGAATAAAGTCAGTTTAGTAAAATTATATAAAAAGTGATATTTTTATTATTGTTTTTAATCTATATATAGAAATCTAGTTTATTTTGATATAGAGGAAGTATTACACAATAGAAATACTAAAACATAATTTTTTACACTTTCTTTTGAATACATTTTTTATTAATTGAAAGTTATTAAAATTTATAAAATTAATAGTCCCAATTTATGGATTATATGTTTAAATGTGCCAACATAAACAATATGTTAAATATTAAAAAATTAATTTCATATTATTGATTAAATAAATTACTTTTGTAGATCATTAGAGTTCGCGGAAAATGTAGATATATGTCATTAATATATATATATATATATAGTTAAGAATTTTTTTTTTACTGATAGCTAAGAATAAGTTAATACATTATTAAATATTTTTATTACATGTAAAAGGTGTGTATAGAATGACTTCATAATTTGAATGTCATGATACTTCCCTTTTGTTAAATATTTTCTTATATAATAAATGTCACGGGGATAATTGTTAGTATTTACCGACTTGAATTTGAGATTAAAATGGAATACTAATAATTTTATAAAAATGAATTAACAAGATTCTGGTTACTTACTTGTTTATGTATTTGTGTGATCATTATGTATGAATTAACATTTAAGTTTGTGATACATTAATTTCATTCATCATTTCAAGGTCCCACTTGTGTATCGGTCTTCATCTCCTTGCACAACTCAAAGGAACAAACTTGCCTACCAACTCCTTAGCTTATTGCCTCACATTCACTTGGCTAATGTCTAAACAATGTTGGAGGAAGAAACAAGGCACTACAATTATATCCTCAATGCATAGATAATGTTGCAAAACCTACCAAATGGTGGGATCATTAACATTGTGTGATGTCTCACTACAAATTTGTTCTTGTAATTGAGAGCACTTGGACTGAGAGTCATGTTACAGAAAAGTTGTTTTATGCATTGGACCTTGGCACAATTCCAATCTATTTTGGTGCTCCAAATATCATGGACTTTGTCCCTCCTAATTCAATCATAGAAGGGGTGAAATTCAAGTCAATGGAGGAATTGGCTTCATATATATGTGAAAGCCCCAAGTAGCCTATGAACAATTCCATGCATGGAGAAGATGTGGTGTGTTGAGTAACTATGCACAAGCTAGAGCACCGAGCCTCGACACCTTTACCTTGTAGGTTATGTCATGCTATTAGCAAAAAAGGGGAAGAAATGGTGTTGCCTAGGTTGCTTTTTATTTTATGTAGTGGTAGGAGCTAGGAAGAAGAACTATATACATGATAAGAGATATATGTTGATTAGTTAATAAAAAAATATATCAATATGTTTGGATATGTTTGATTTTCCTTCGTGTAAACTTTTTTTCTATTTTTCATAATTTATATTTTTTGGTAAAACTTATAAGAGGGTAAAATAAATAACTCTTTTGTTGTCGATCACAATAATCTTTTCATATGATATGCACTTTATGCTTTACATATAACTCTCCTCGTGGTTCAAATTAAAAACGTCATTTGGCAACTGCGCTAGAGTCATGATCATTTAAAGCACCAAATTTGGATGAAAAAATAAAATATGATTAGACGAAAAAGAAAAAGTTAATATATCTTATTTGAGTACACGACAATAAAAGATGATAAAATAAAATGTATTATAATCGTCTCTGGTATTATTCAGCAAAAGTGCCTTGATGCGTGTAGAATGTTTAGTGATAGGCGCGTTGCAATAGTAATAATAGACTAAATTTAGTTAATGACAATTTAGCATGAGATTTTCTACCATCTACAAACTAGACTTTAAGCCTTCCTAAATCATCGATGCTAATATTTGTTCTGCAAACTTATTTTACCCCTTGCTTAAGTAAAAGTTGAGAAGAAATTGCAAAGAAAAGATAACTTTACCTTTGATTTATTAAAGTAGAGAAGAGAGATGGAAGAAAGGTTTGAATCTCACCTCGAAATAAAATCTCTTAAGTGAAAAGAATATAGATAATTGAGATATAAAAATGTGAATCCAATTAAAATTATAATTTTAATCTCGTTATTTTTTATCTACTTTCCAAAAAAATTATTATTATATATGTAAGAAAATTCTTTTTTTTTTCTCTTTGTTTTTTCTATCCAACCAAATTAATGGAGAAAAAACTCTTTTCTTGTACTTCTCTCTTCTTTCAATTCAAACACCTTAAAATTTTACCAATTTTCTACTCATTTTCTCTTTTCTCTTACTTTTGTTATTATCCTACACCTTAATCTTGTCTTCTTTGTAAAGTGAGTAATGTCATATACTTAGGATATGGATTTTTATGATGTCCCTTACAATATGGCTAAGAGCCAAGTAATATTATTGGTTGGTAAAAACGAAAAAGATACCAAATAGTTCATGTAATAAGAAGAAGAAAAAAAAAGGTTAAAACTAGTAAGTTACATAATAAAGGGAAACGTTAACGTTAGAGTTGATGATTCAACATGATTCATTTCTCTAGTTATACTATAAATTGAGTATGTCTTGATTTTTAGTTTTGTCCACTTAGGAGACTCCAGAGTTATCTTGTTAGTAGAAGTCTGATCATAGAAATAGATGCTACAATGTTACACTTAAGAATCAGAAGTTTGTCTCCATGTGCTGGGAGAGAGTGTAGTTTATAGTTGATGTGATTTTATGATATTTTCATCATTTAATTTATTATTATTATTACAGGAATATTAAATAATGTAAATATAATTTTATAGAATAACTTAATAATAAAAAGTAAAGAGTATCACATTACCTTTATTCTAATAATTTGATATTCTAAGAAGAATAATTGAAACTAAGTACTTATTTTAAAGATGTTAGAAACTATTTGCAAATTATATATAACTGCAAATATTCTTTTGATTGAAAAAAAATATATTGCTATATAACCACAAATAGGCAATAATGTTTCGGATTTTAAAAGAAATTTTCAGAAATCCCCCGAAATAAACATAAGTTTAAAAGCAGTCGAGAATGAGTTGAATACAACCTACATAAAATGGAATGACGTGAAAAGCACAGACCCATTCGATATATATATATATAAT